GTCCGTCACGGGTCGCCGAGCCCCACACCCGCGTCTGTGAGGCGGGGACACCGGCTCCTCCTCGCCTTCCCGGCTCCCTCCCAAGTGAAGCTGGAAAAGACTCCCGCGAGGAGGACCCCGCAGGTTTAGCCCCCAGCAAGGCAACGTCCTGCTCGGTCATTGGCTCATGTGGGCGCTGCGCCTTCTGGGTAATGTAGTTCCCAGGCTCTGGAGGCGGCGGGGAGGAATTCGGCAGTGGGCCTATTAGGACAGCGGTTCTCAACCTGTGGGTCGCGACCCCTGTGGCGTTTTAACGGCCCTTTCACAGGGGTCGCCTAAGACTATCCTGCATATCAGTTATTTACATGACGATTCATCACAGTAGCAACATGAGAGTGATGAAGTAGCAACGAAAATAATTTTATCACTGGGGGTCAGCACAACATGAGGAACTGTCTTTAAAGGGCCAGAAGGTTGAGAAACGCTGTAACTAGGAGGAATTCCTAAGTGGGGAGGGGGAATCCTGCAAATGCGTTGTTCCCAACTCCCGAGAGGGGCTTTGTTCATGGTTATGGCAATGTCAGAATGCCCAATACTATCTTACTTTTTTAAAAAAAAATTATTTTTTAAAAAATATATTTTATTAGTCAGAGTCTGCATTTACAGTAACAATGTGGAAAGAATGGGGAGGTGACTCGTGATTCCCATGAATTACATGAATTCATGCAATTACTGACATGAATGCTGAGATGTTTCGTACTTCTTCATCGCTTTTCTACCCTTTGAACAGAACAATGATAAGCCCTAGCCTTTGGCTCAGTGGATAGAGGGGCAGCCTGCAGACTGAAGGGTCCCAGGTTTGATTCTGGTCAAGGGCACATGCCCTGGTTGCAGATTCATCTCCAGTAGGGGGCATGCAGGAGGCAGCCAATCAATGATTCTCTCTCATCATTGATGTTTCTATCTCAATCTCCCTCTCCCTTCCTCTCTGAAATCAATAAAAAAATATATTAAGCCCAAACCGGTTCGTCTCAGTGGGTAGAGTGTCAGCCTGCAGACTGAAAGGTCCCAGGTTTGATTCTGATCAAGGGCATGTACCCGGGTTGCGGGCACATACCCAGTTGGGGGTGTGAAGGAGGCAGCTGATCGATGTGTCCCTCTCATGTTTCTAGCTCTTTATCCCTCTCCCATCCTCTATTTAAAAAATTCAATAAAAATATATTTAACAAATATATATATACATACATATACATATATATATAACCGGTTTGGCTCAGTGGATAGAGCGTCAGCATGTGGCCTGAAGGGTCCCGGGTTCGATTCAGGTCAAGGGCATGTACATTGGTTGCGGGCACATCCCCAGTAGGGGGTGTGCAGGAGGCAGCTGATCGATGTTTCTCTCTCATCGATGTTTCTAACTCTCTGTCCCTCTCCCTTCCTCTCTGTAAAAAATCAATAAAATATATTTTTAAAAGATACAGTAATAGAAACAGTACTTTTACAGGCTTGTCCAATTGCAAACCTACCCTACCAGCCTGCAGAAGTCCCTTGCAAGTCCTGGAGCGCTTGGAACTACATTACCCAGAAGCTCATGCGCCAGGTGGAGCCAATGACAAACCAGAACGTCATCCTCTCCGCGTGACGTCCGCATAAGGGGCGGGGCGTCTGCTGTACTGCTCTAGGCGGGCGTCTTTTCAGATTCTGCCGGACCCGCTGGGGTGAAGCTGACGGGAATTTGAAAAAAGGCAAAAAAAACAAAAACAAAAAACGGGGGGTCGTCATCCCCGTCGCACGGACGCGGGGTGAGGCTCGGCGACCCCACGAGGGACCCCC